CAGTAACGGGGACATAGGATGATTCTTCAGTAACGGGGACATAGGATGATTCTTCAGTAACGGGGACATAGGATGATTCTTCAGTAACGGGGACATAGGATGATTCTTCAGTAACGGGGACATAGGATGATTCTTCAGTAACGGGGACATAGGATGATTCTTCAGTAACGGGGACATAGGATGATTCTTCAGTAACGGGGACATAGGATGATTCTTCAGTAACGGGGACATAGGATGATTCTTCAGTAACGGGGACATAGGATGATTCTTCAGTAACGGGGACATAGGATGATTCTTCAGTAACGGGGACATAGGATGATTCTTCAGTAACGGGGACATAGGATGATTCTTCAGTAACGGGGACATAGGATGATTCTTCAGTAACGGGGACATAGGATGATTCTTCAGTAACGGGGACATAGGATGATTCTTCAGTAACGGGGACATAGGATGATTCTTCAGTAACGGGGACATAGGATGATTCTTCAGTAACGGGGACATAGGATGATTCTTCAGTAACGGGGACATAGGATGATTCTTCAGTAACGGGGACATAGGATGATTCTTCAGTAACGGGGACATAGGATGATTCTTCAGTAACGGGGACATAGGATGATTCTTCAGTAACGGGGACATAGGATGATTCTTCAGTAACGGGGACATAGGATGATTCTTCAGTAACGGGGACATAGGATGATTCTTCAGTAACGGGGACATAGGATGATTCTTCAGTAACGGGGACATAGGATGATTCTTCAGTAACGGGGACATAGGATGATTCTTCAGTAACGGGGACATAGGATGATTCTTCAGTAACGGGGACATAGGATGATTCTTCAGTAACGGGGACATAGGATGATTCTTCAGTAACGGGGACATAGGATGATTCTTCAGTAACGGGGACATAGGATGATTCTTCAGTAACGGGGACATAGGATGATTCTTCAGTAACGGGGACATAGGATGATTCTTCAGTAACGGGGACATAGGATGATTCTTCAGTAACGGGGACATAGGATGATTCTTCAGTAACGGGGACATAGGATGATTCTTCAGTAACGGGGACATAGGATGATTCTTCAGTAACGGGGACATAGGATGATTCTTCAGTAACGGGGACATAGGATGATTCTTCAGTAACGGGGACACAGGATGATTCTTCAGTAACGGGGACACAGGATGATTCTTTAGTAACGGGGACATAGGATGATTCTTCAGTAACGGGGACATAGGATGATTCTTCAGTAAAGGGGACACAGGATGATTCTTCAGTAACGGGGACACAGGATGATTCTTTAGTAACGGTGACACAGGATGATTCTTCAGTAACGGGGACACAGGATGATTCTTCAGTAACCGGAACATAGGATGATTCTTCAGTAACGTGGACACAGGATGATTCTACAGTAACAGGGACACAGGATGATCCTACATACGTCATGTCTGATTCAGACCTGGTTATGTATTATATGGGAAAATATTGCATTGAAGAAAACTTCAAAAAAAAGAAAAGGAAAAAAACCTTTGATAACTTTAGCTCCTTATTCACTGTCTGATGGCAAAATAATTATGAATTTGTAGGCTTGCACTCTAAAAGGTCCTTTGAGGTCATGAGCTAATTAATCACATTGTAAAGGATTCTCAAGGTCATGTCTATAATTTTCAAGGTCATATGAAAGACATGATAGTACATGGATCTTGCTGTTTTTGGTACACCCTTAGTGTATGTTTTATACTGAGTTATTCCCCTTACTCTAGTTACATGACTCACATCAGTAGCTAACCAGTATAGATGGTTGTCATTTTCACGTAGAGAAGTTCTTATTCTTGACTTGTTGATCATTCTGGCAGACACTCCTCAGTAATAGGGTTATATTACAGAATTGTTAGTGTTGTTTCATGTATCTATTCGTTGGTCCATTCCACTAAAATGAGATGGTCAGGGAGGCTATAGGGTCAGTCTCAGTTTTATCTCTCTTTCCACAACTCTCTGGTCCTGTGGTCGTGTACTGTTTGTCTGTCACATCCAGTCTCCAGCCAGATTGTTCCAGTAAAGCCAGTCAGATTGTCATTGGATGGAATAATCACATGACTGAGATTGACTTGGTGATTGGCTGACAAGGTTAGCTGTTGTTGATGAGGGCAATGATAAGACCGTAGATAATGGGATTAGGGTTCAATATCAGGTAAGGTTGTGGCTGATTAAGACGATGATGGAGGAGGCTTTAAGTAATAATCATTAACACATGACAAATGGTGTATAAGAAGTGATGAGCCTCCACATGGAATTAACTCTACAAGTTCAAATGTTCCGTATGCTTTTCTAAAAATATAGATTTGGGAACTACTATGTTAAATCTTCAAGTAAAAGAAAATTTATTTTATCTTGTTGTCTAAAATGATTTATTTTTTTTAAATGTTATTTTTAATTTGTATATGTTTGGATAAATTGATCATGATCTGTAGCATATAAGCTGAGGGGTAAGTGGGTTCTGAGCCACAGTGGAGGTACATGCATGCACCTGTAGTGGTATTGTCTATAAGGATCAAAGTCCCCTACTTGCCTAGAGATATTCACAAGGCGAGGCAGCTAGGATACAGGTACAGAGGTTTCTGGTCTTGTTTGAGGAAAGTGTCGTTAGCTGTATTGAGAATTAAAGTCTCCAGAGTTTGGTGAAAGCACTCTTAGCTGTTTTGAGAATTCCTCCGAGTTTGGGAAAAGTACTGTCAGCTTTGTGGAGAATTCTCCAGAGTTTGGGAAAAGTACTGTTAGCTTTGTGGAGAATTCTCCAGAGTTTGGGAAAAGTACTGTTAGCTGTATTGAGAATTAAAGTCTCAGAGTTTGGTGAAAGCACTCTTAGCTTTTTGAGAATTCTTCCGAGTTTGTGAAAAGTACTGTTAGCTTTGTGGAGAATTCTCCAGAGTTTGGAAAAAGTGCTGTTAGCTTTGTGGAGAATTCTCCAGAGTTTGGGAAAAGTACTGTTAGCTTTGTGGAGAATTCTCCAGAGTTTGGGAAAAGTACTGTTAGCTTTGTGGAGAATTCTCCGAATGGCCTTAGGAACTTAGGATGAGGTGGGATGGATATCATTTCGGATAGGTCATCGTACAAGTGCTTTTCTGTATCAATGCTTAAGAATGAATCTTGCTCTAATTACAGGAGAATTCTGAAACTTAATTTTGACAGCTGTAAAAAAAAATCTGCAGACAAAACCATATTAACACCACCTTGGTTTGTATATGAGTATAGGGTTGATATCAGACATTTCTATACTTCTCTGGAGAATTGTACTTCTTTACTTCTGTAGGGGGTTTAGGAGGCAGACTGTCAACGATTGTACTGGTTTAAAGACTCTTTACTGGAAATCTGCCTGGAAGGTTTTGGGGAAAAGTTGGAAGATATTATAGGTAAAATAGGAGATCAGTAACATATTGAGTATGAGGTATCAAAATCCCCAAGTCTATTCAAGTCAATTGGTTTAGTTATCATTTTTTAACTATATAATCAATTGTCATTAATTAATTCACCCCAGAAGACACATTTTAACTCTTCCAATTCAAAGGTTGGAATAGTTCATTGTGAAATTTAAGGGGTGATTGTCAGTCAGTTCAGTGAATATTATTTACATGGTAATGCTGACAACGTTAACTTAACCATACAGTATATTTGATTTTTTTGTTAGAAGATGGTAGATAGTTATCTGTTGTTACTCCCATATGATAGATTGATATGACAACAGTTTATAGAAAATCATGAATAAACATATTGAAGAACTTTTGATCTTCTTTTTAAATATATGAATTAATTAATTAATTAATTGGAATGTTATGTTAATTTGATTCTTAACATAAGAAATAGAAATATTGTTAAGTTAACGTTTTCATTAAAGTCTAGACAAAATTAATTACCTAAAAATTTACTTGTAAGTTGAGTTTCAAAAGTACATTTAGGATTCAAAGTTCATTAAAGCTGATAGCAGTGTACCTTGGTCACCCACCCAAGCCCAGAACAGTTTGGAGTAATTCTAGCTCTGTGGCTGTGTACCTTGGTCACTCACCAAAGCCCAGAACAGTTTGGAGTAATACTAGCCCTGTGGCTGTGTACCTTGGTCACTCACCCCAGCCCAGAACAGTTTGGAGTAATACTAGCCCTGTGGCTGTGTACCTTGGTCACTCACCCGAGCCCAGAACAGTTTGGAGTAATATCAGCTCTGTGGTTGTAGGCAGTGTTATGCTCTGTACCTTGGTCACTCACCCAAGCCCAGAACAGGTTGGAGTAATACCAGCTCTGTGGCTGTGTCCCTTGGTCACTCACCCAAGCCCAGAACAGTCTGGAGTAATACTAGCTCTGTGGCTGTGTACCTTGGTCACTCCCCCAAGCCCAGAACAGTTAGGAGTAATACCAGCTCTGTGGCTGTGTACCTTGGTCAATCACCCCAGCCCAGAACAGTTTGGAGTAATACTAGCTCCGTGGCTGTGTACCTTGGTCACTCACCCAAGCCCCGAACAGTTTGGAGTAATATCAGCTCTGTGGTTGTAGGCAGTGTTATTTATATAGTATCTTGTTCGGAGTAATACCAGCTCTGTGGCTGTGTCCCTTGGTCACTCACCCAAGCCCAGAACAGTCTGGAGTAATACTAGCTCTGTGGCTGTGTACCCTGGTCACTCACCCAAGCCCAGAACAGTTTGGGGTAATACTAGCTCTGTGGCTGTGTACCTTGGTCGCTCACCCAAGCCCAGAACAGTTTGGAGTAATTTAAAGCTGATAGCAGTGTACCTTGGTCACCCACCCAAGCCCAGACCAGTTTGGAGTAATACTCGCTCTGTGGCTGTGTACCTTGGTCACTCACCCAAGCCCGGAACAGTTTGGAGTAATATCAGCTCTGTGGTTGTAGGCAGTGTTATTTATCAGAACAGTTCGGAGTAATACCAGCTCTGTGGCTGTGTACATTGGTCACTCACCCAACCCCAGCACAGTTTGGAGTAATACCAGCTCTGTGGCTATGTCCCTTGGTCACCCACCCAAGCCCAGAACAGCTTGGAGTAATACTAGCTCTGTGGCTGTGTGCCTTGGTCACTCACCCAAGCCCAGAACAGCTTGGAGTAATACTAGCTCTGTGGCTGTGTTCCTTGGTCACTCACCCAAGCCCAGAACAGCTTGGAGTAATACTAGCTCTGTGGCTGTGTTCCTTGGTCACTCACCCAAGCCCAGAACAGCTTGGAGTAATACTAGCTCTGTGGCTGTGTTCCTTGGTCACTCACCCAAGCCCAGAACAGGTTGGAGTAATACCAGCTCTGTGGCTATGTACCCTGGTCACGCACCCAAGCCCAGAACAGTTTGGAGTAATGCCAGCTCTGTGGCTGTGTACCTTGGTCACCCACCCAAGCCCAGAACAGGTTGGAGTAATACCAGCTCTGTGGCTGTGTATCTTGGTCACTCACCCAAGCCCAGAACAGTCTGGAGTAATACCAGCTCTGTGGCTGTGTATCTTGGTCACTCACCCAAGCCCAGAACAGTTAGGAGTAATACCAGCTCTGTGGCTGTGTACCTTGGTCCCTCACCCAAGCCCAGAACAGTTTGGAGTACTATTAGCTCTGTGGCTATGAACCTTGGTCACTCACCCAAGCCGAACAGTTTGGAGTAATACCAGCTCTGTGGCTATGTCCCTTGGTCACCCACCCAAGCCCAGAACAGTTTGGGGTAATACTAGCTCTGTGGCTGTGTACCTTGGTCGCTCACCCAAGCCCAGAACAGTTTGGAGTACTATTAGCTCTGTGGCTATGAACCTTGGTCACTCACCCAAGCCGAACAGTTTGGAGTAATACCAGCTCTGTGGCTCTGTCCCTTGGTCACCCACCCAAGCCCAGAACAGCTTGGAGTAATACTAGCTCTGTGGCTGTGTACCTTGGTCGCTCACCCAAGCCCAGAACAGTTTGGAGTAGTATCAGCTCTGTGGCTATGTACCTTGGTCACTCACCCAAGCCGAACAGTTTGGAGTAATACCAGCTCTGTGGCTCTGTCCCTTGGTCACCCACCCAAGCCCAGAACAGGTTGGAGTAATACCAGCTCTGTGGCTGTGTATCTTGGTCACTCACCCAAGCCCAGAACAGTTTGGAGCAATATCAGCTCTGTGGCTGTGTACCTTGGTCACTCGCCCAAGCCCAGAACAGTTTGGAGTAATACTAGCTCCGTGGCTGTGTACCTTGGTCACTCACCCAAGCCCAGCACAGTTTGGAGTAATACTAGCTCTGTGGCTGCGTACCTTGGTCACTCACCCAAGCCCAGAACAGGTTGGAGTAATACCAGCTCTGTGGCTATGTCCCTTGGTCACCCACCCAAGCCCAGAACAGTTTGGGGTAATACTAGCTCTGTGGCTGTGTACCTTGGTCACTCGCCCAAGCCCAGAACAGTTTGGAGTAATACCGGCTCTGTGGCTCTGTACCTTGGTCACTCACCCAAGCCCAGAACAGTTTGGAGTAATATCAGCTCTGTGGTTGTAGGCAGTGTTATTTATATAGTATCTTAACTGTCAATTATTTTATGATAGCATTTTTGACAAAGTAATTCTAAACCTAGCATAAAGACAACATTTGACGCCTTACGGTTTTGAGCGAGTTATTTTTCTTTTGAATGATGTTTGGACTCTGCTGTCCAGAATTCATGTCTGTAGTTTACCTCAATAAATAGGAATAATATCATTTAACTGTCAATCAGAAATCCTCCGAAAAGTTCCACGTTCCACACGCATATAGCAATCAGATGGTCCGCATCCATTTCATGCTGTGGTAAGTCTTACCGAGCATGGGAGCTCACTTTGAGGTTTCTCCTGGCAATCCAGTGCATAATTTGTATGTCAAAATGTCAGGAAGAAATCTGTGATGCTGCAAATTTTTACGACCAGACTAAAGTTCTAAGTCAAACATATTACTGGTATTTACCCATTCTCGCAGACTGTTATAATTTCCTGTGATTTACTTTTTAATGCACGACAGTTGGTGCCAGAAAACTACGTTGTTTATGCAGGACTGAGCTGCATACAGAAGATTGTTTGCGTGAAGTCAATATGGATAGGTATATATATATGACAGCAAGAGGTCGTTACTGTGACAACCTATCATAGGGGGCAGCACCGTAGCGATTAACAGACCCGAACCCGAGACTATCTCCATATATTGTATAAACAGTTGTTACAGACCCAACTGATTCTGTTCTTCTCCCTGTCTACTTTGCATGCAATATTCAAGAAAAAAAAATTGAATTCTTATTGGTCAATTGCCAGAATAAGTTGAGGCTGAGTGAAGTGGACTGCTGCAAAGTTCTACCACAGTGATTCTGACCATTGCCAAAATGGGCGTAGTTAAATATAGGTCATCACTACAGATTTTAAGTCCTATGATTTTATAATGGTTATGTAATGACCAACAATGAACCATTTGATAAATCATTTAATGTCAGCTGTATTGGACTATTTCTCCATTGTCTGCTATAATAATAATACTAAGTATCAGCTATCAGACTCTATTACACATCAGACAAGCAGCCCATCCACCACAAACTGCAGATCATCTTGTAGTGATGTGTGTTCATGAACCAACATAGGTTTTAATACCTATACAGATCTAAGTCCTAAAACAAATATGATTCATACACACCTATAAAGACATTAGTCTTTTGTGCAAAATTGTGTTGTAAGGTTGGTAGGATTTCTGGCTGATGCAGCCTCATTGTGACTTGGTTGTAAACATGGATGTTTTTGTGGACCCCATAGAAGGAAACTCGCTGTTGTGATGTAGTAAATAATACAAATGGGGATTAATCATTCATTTTTTTTTTTGCCATCCATTGTTTGGTAATGCAAACATTTTGATACTTTTCCTGGAATCAAAAATTAATTTCCATGACCCATTTACATCAATTTGGCTATCTGACCTTATCAGCTTTCTGGCATATGTCGTTTATGTGTCCGTTAATTGTTTGTTTTATCAATATTGGTTCGTGTTGGTCCCTATTTTCTGTTAAATCGCCATTGTGGAATTAACTTCATTAACCTGGTCTATACAGACTTATGAATATTCATAAGCTCCCCCAGGTGTATATGGAGAATAAGAGAAATGCTACCATCCATTTTTTTCAGGAGATGTTGTTTGTTTGAGCTCATTAATTAGTCAGAATCTGGAGGGATGATTCATCATTTAGTGAAAATCAGGTGAAGGACAATTGTGAAAAAAATATAACTGACAGATCTAATTCCAATTGCTGATTGTTAATTTTTTACCAATTATTTTATCCTTATTTTTTCATTGCATACTTTCTCTTTGAAAATATTTATTTTTATTGAAGTGTTCATTTAGCTTCTATTTCTGACACAGATGACGTCTTTTAGATATACTCAAGTCAGGTTCTACAGTTTACAGAGGATCTGTAGGAAAAAATGGTGTGATATGAAGACTAGTGTTAGACTCGAGGTGCAGCCCAGACATACATAGTGGTACATATATAGACAATATTATATAAAGGGGTCAGCCCAGACACATTGTGGTACATATATAGATAATATTATGTAAAGGGGTCTGCCCAGACATACATTGTGGTACATATATAGATAATATTATATAAAGGGGTCAGCCCAGACACATTGTGGTACATATATAGATAATATCATATAAAGGGGTCAGCCCAGACATACATTGTGGTACATATATAGATAATATTATATAAAGGGGTCGACCCAGACATACATAGTGGTACATATATAGACAATATTATATAAAGGGGTTGGCCCAGACACATAGTGGTACATATATAGACAATATTATATAAAGGGGTCGGCCCAGACGTACATTGTTGTACATATATAGACAATATTATATAAAGGGGTCGGCCCAGACGTACATTGTTGTACATATATAGACAATATTATATAAAGGGGTCAGCCCAGACATACATTGTGGTACATATATAGACAATATTATATAAAGGGGTCGGCCCAGACATACATTGTGGTACATATATAGACAATATATTATATAAAGGGGTCAGCCCAGACACATTGTTGTACATATATAGACAATATTATATAAAGGGGTCAGCCCAGACATACATTGTGGTACATATATAGACAAAATTATATAAAGGGGTCGGCCCAGACATACAGTGTGGGACATATATAGACAATATCATTAAAAGGGTCGGCCCAGACACATTGTTGTACATATAGAGACAATATCATATAAAGGGGTCGGCCGAGAGACATTGTGGTACATATATAGACAATATTATATAAAAGGGTCGGCCCAGACATACATTGTGGTACATATATAGACAATATATTATATAAAGGGGACAGCCCAGACACATTGTTGTACATATATAGACAATATTATATAAAGGGGTCGGCCCAGACATACATTGTGGTACATATATAGACAATATCATTAAAAGGGTCGGCCCAGACACATTGTTGTACATATAGAGACAATATCATATAAAGGGGTCGGCCCAGAGACATTGTGGTACATATATAGACAATATTATATAAAGGGGTCGGCCCAGACATACATTGTGGTACATATATAGACAATATTATATAAAGGGGTCAGGCCAGACATACATTGTGGTACATATATAGACAATATTGTATAAAGGGGTCGACCCAGACACATAGTGGTACATATATAGACCATATTATATAAAGGGGTCGGCCCAAAGACATTGTGGTACATATATAGACAATATCATATAAAGGGGTCGGCCCAGAGACATTGTGGTACATATATAGACAATATTATATAAAAGGGTCGGCCCAGACATACATTGTGGTACATATATAGACAATATCATATAAAAGGGTCGGCCCAGACACATTGTGGTACATATATAGACAATATCATATAAAGGGGTCGGCCAAGACATATACATTGTGGTACATATATAGACAATATCATATAAAGGGGTCAGCCAGACACATAGTGGTACATATATAGACAATATTATATAAAATGGTCGGCCCAGACACATTTTGGTACATATATAGACAATATCATATAAAAGGGTCGACCCAGACACATAGTGGTACATATATAGACAATATTATATAAAAGGGTCGGCCCAGACACATTGTGGTACATATATAGACAATTTCATATAAAGGGGTCGGCCCAGAGACATAGTGGTACATATATAGACAATATTATATAAAGGGGTCGGCCAAGACACATTGTGGTACATATATAGACAATATCATATAAAGGGGTAAGCCCAGACATACATTGTGGTACATACAAATGTATATATAGACAATATTATATAAAAGGGTTGGCCCAGATACATATTGGTACATATATAGACAATATTATATAAAGGGGTCGGCCCAGACATACATTGTGGTACATATATAGACAATATTTTATAAAGGGGTCGGCCCAGACATACATTGTTGTACATATATAGACAATATTATATAAAGGGGTCGGCCCAGACACATTGTTGTACATATATAGACAATATTATATAAAGGGGTCTGCCCAGACACATTGTGGTACATATATAGACAATATTATATAAAGGGGTTGGCCCAGACATACATTGTGGTACATATACAGACAATATATTATATATGAAAGCACAATACAACAGAGGTACACATCAGGAGTTTCATGTCTGTTTGTGTCACTTTTGGTTGCAATGTATTTGTTCTTCTTACCAATACTGGTAGACCAGTATAAAGAAGTTCACACTTACAGAATGTTTATGTATATTTTTTCTTAGGACAATATCTGATAGCACACGATTGTTTCAGGGATGGTGTCGCGTTGCATGCAGCAAAACAAAATTTTAAAAATCTGGTTCTTTAAAATTTTGTTCTTAAATGGTTTTCCTTAAAATTCATTAATTCAATTAGCTTCCATTGCTGTTTACTAATTCTGCCAGTATACAATTTAATTAGTTGGCACAGAGTAGATTTGTAGAACCCTAATATATGCAGACAGGAATAAAATTCAACAATAATTGTTCATTATCTTACTCGCACAACAAAGGCACTGAAGTTTATTGACGGCCACAAACCACACATACACCCAACATGAACACCGAGGGCTGTTTTACAATCAACATCGTTACTCTTTAAGTCATTAAGAATGTTTCAGTGAATATTTTTGCAATTTCATGTGCTTGATGTAGATTTTGGCTACCTAGTTTCTAGTTTTTAAGTCTCCTTCCATTCATGTTCTTGTTTTTAGTCCCCCACTGGGGGGGNCTCGGTCGGTCCGTCCTTCCATCCATCCTTCCATCCTTCCATCCTTCCATCCAAGAAGTTTGTCCGGGACATATCTTCTATACTCTTCACCTGGAGTAACCAGATTTGGTGTACAAGGACATCTTGGGATGGCAGCGTGCAGCGTGCAGAGTGTAAGAAGACGGTCACTAGGACCTCACTGTGACATATGCTTTGACCTTCGACCTTAACTTTTGAAAAAGTTCCTCCGAGGCATATCTTCT